TTGATTTGGAAAGTTATGGGATTAAAGGGTGTAGTTGGATTATTTATCGCTCACCTAGTTGAAATGTTGATTATACATCCATTGTTGCATTTATTTTCTGTATAGAAATAACTGCTTTGGGCTATCGGTGGAGGATAGTCTTGAATGTTGTAGATAATGCATGATGATTAGGTAAACTGAAACTAATCACTGAAATGTGTCACTGAGTATGACGGTTGAAAGAATACATTAAATTTATGTATTGTGTGATAATGTATACAATTATTGTTTATATGCATTGTGTCGTGTGGGAGGAGATAGGGGATGTACTCCACGGTTTAGGGGAAGATAGAGGATGAACCTCTAAACCGGATGTTGTTGGGAGGAGATAGGGGATGGACTCCATAGATAGAGCTCATATGCTTATCTAGTGATGTGATGACACAGCTCATATGCTTGTCTTTGGAAGTGTGATAGTGCTCTTATGCATATGTATGGAAGTGATGATATGGCTTGTATGCTTATCTGTTGGTGTGTGATATGGCTAGTATGCTTATCTATTATGAAATGGGAAAGTGTGTAATATGAGTTACTGTCTCATATAAGTTGTTTGGCTAGGTTCTGAGCCATGGTTATAAATTGAGAATTGAAAAGAATTGGAAAATGGATTGTAACATGAACTCGTATGTCATGAAACTGTAGTGTTATAAGTGAAAGTATCAGTGTTGGCCATCTACCAACTGCTAATCTTTTAGTCATTGTTCATATTTGGTTTAGTGTATTTCTACTGGGCTGTGGCTCACCCTATATGGGAATATCATTTTCAGGTACAGGTAGCATACCACCTCCAAGGACGTAGCTTGGGAGGCTAGAGGCGGGCAGACTTTTGTTGTTTAGTTTCTTTGATATATTACATGTATATTCAAGCCAAGGGCTTAAGGTGTAAATGAGTTAGCACTCTTTGTTGTAACCAAGTGTTAACTTGGAAAGCTGTAAGCCTTTAGGGCACTTGCTTTTGTCGTTAACATGTAATACTTTTTGGTAATGGAACTCTGATGAATAGAAGTATGTGGAGCTTATATATATCAATGCATGTCTATATTGATGGGTTTAACGTTATTATTTTGAGGGCGTGACAATTCTAGACTCTATTGAAGTGATATGAAATCACTTTATTTCAGTTAGCAATGTTGGTATTTTGCTAATAGAAAGTCCCTCTAGCATTAATCTTTTTAGGATAGCGTTGAGGTAGGAGCACAACATATTCAACATAGATAATGTCCTCTTTTTTAATAAGTTCAGATTGATGTAAAGCATGGTGCATTGTTGCAGGCATGTAGAACTTGGGAAATGTGATATGTATAATATTAAATCATCAATCATAAGAGAATTTTTGAGGATATAGAAGGAGAAAATATGGTTCATTTACTTCTGTTCATGCTTGGAGAGAAGAGAGGATATAGAAGGAGAAAATATGGAATCACACATTTATTTTCATTTCAGTTTCATACTGTTTGGCATCCATCCATCAGTAAGGTTTTATGAATCCATTCTAACTAAATAATTTATTTGAAGATTGGAGCTAATCAGATTGTGTGCTAAATAGGAAACTATGCATTCTGCTGAACAATTCATATTCATGTATCTTCTTACATGCTTGCTTAGATTGCTAACTGATTGTGTCCGTCTTGCTAATTACTTCATGTTCTCCATTGGCTTGTTGGTGATGCGTTTTTGAATTCTTTTTATGCAAAATATGAAACAAATAATAATAATTCTTTAAATTCACTGAAACTGGATGCTTTCGTGTATCTTAAGTGTATTATTTTCCTTATGAATATGAAGGCTGAGATTCATTGCAGTGGATGGAAGTGAGAGGTGTTGAGAATGTGATTCCATCAGGGAATTCCTACCTGAGCTGCCAAATGTGATTAACCAGCCACACTTCGTGTTGCAATCTTATGTATAGACCCTTGTATATGCTCTGTGTTTAAAATAACTCACCTATTTTCCGAATGTTTGAAAAAGTCCGTAATGATGTGCCTGCAGTTTGTTGACCTGTCTTACATTATATATACAAAGATGTCCTTTGACTGTCCTTAGTCTTTACCCCTTGCAAATTGCTTTTTCCTTGGAGGCTCCAACCTCCATTTGGTAATTTTTGCAGTGAGAAGTTACTTGATGGTTGTGACATGTGTTTTTGTCTCAAATCATAGAATTCATTTTAGGCCTTTCCAGGGCCCTAAAATATGCTAGTATTTAATTGATTAATATCCTGGTATTTAGGACATTCTCTTCTAATATAGAATAATCACCCCTGCCTGCTACTAGGAAAGAAAAAAATGACATGCTCCCAGTGTTGTCAATTGGGTTGAACATTATTGTTCACTCTTTTCTTCCCCAATGCTGGAAGATAATTATGTGCTGGAACATTATTGGAATCACACATTATGGTCCTCTTTTTTAATAAGTTCAGATTGATGTAAAGCATGGTGCATTGTTGCAGGCGTGTAACACTTGGGAAATGTGATATGTATAATATTAAATCATCAATCATAAGAGAATTTCTGAGCATATAGAAGGAGAAAATATGGTTCATTTACTTCTGTTCATGCTTGGAGAGGGGAGAGGATATAGAAGGAGAAAATATGGAGTCACACATTTATTTTCATTTCAGTTTCATACTGTTTGGCATCCATCCATCAGTAAGGTTTTATGAATCCATTCTAACTAAACAATTTATTTGAAGATTGGAGCTAATCATATATTTGTTTTCCTCAAATATTTGTTCCCTCAAGCAACTCGTCAACATGGTGATTCATGGGTAATAATACTTATTTTTTTCTCAAATATTGCCTTCTGAAGTTTGTAAGTGGTTTTGTTTATTCAATTTAAATTTTCGTTTAAACTTGATCTGGACTCATTGATTGATGTTTAAGGTCATTTAAATTTGAAATTATCCTCAAAATGTTGTATTTGATGTTGTTGGGAGTTAGAGTTAGGTTTCAGATATAATTTTTATGTTTTTTTTATATTTGATGCTATAGTAGTTAAATTTTTATTTTTGTATTTGATTGAGATGTTTAATTACCCATGTGGGATTTGATGACTAACAAAAAAAAAAAATGTTGTATTTGATGTTGTAGTAAAATTTTTATGTTTTTTTGTAATTAACATTAACACATAATTATATTGTCATTAATTATTTTTATTTTTATTTTTCAGATATTTTCCATGTAGGAGTGTGCTTCTTGTGGAATGCATGCTTGTGAAGAATGTGGCTAATTTTTGTTTTTATTATTTACAAAGAATGATGAGAAAAACATTTAATTTTGGTTTATGTTATTTTGAATTATGAACAAAATCATGTATTTAAACATGATATATGTATTATGGAACATTATGCAATGGGATAATTTTGTTGATGTGTAATTATGAATGGAAGAATATTTTATTATGGAGAAATTGTTATTTTTATACAGGAATTTTTATATTATTATGCAATTATTATGGAGAAATTTTAATATTTTTAATAATTTTATCGCAAGATGTTTTTTTCTTTTTTGTGACGGTACTACACCGTCGCAAAAAACATAAAATTTTAGTATTTTTATTGATTTTGTTACAGGTTTTACTTTTTGCGACGACACTAAACTATCACAAAAAATAGAAATTTTATTATTTAAAATAGAAATTTTATTATTTTTTAATACTTTTTGCGACGGTAGTATATTGTCGCAAAAAATGGAAATTTTCATATTTTTAATACTTCTTGCGACAACACCACACCGTCGCAAAAACAGTGTTTTTGCTGTTGCAAAAAAAAAAAGACTATTAGTGACGGCATTTTTTGCCGTCTCAAATAACATTTTTAGCGACGGTAAAATAGTGTCGTCGCAAAAAGTCAAGAATTTTCAAACATTCCGTCGCAAAAGGCCAAAATGCCGTCACAAAACATTAGCGACGGCATTGTGCAATCGCAAAAACTCTTTTGCAACGCCCCCAGTTGCGACCCCCTCTTGCCGTCGCAAAAAGTTTTTTGCGACGGCATTAGGAGTATTAGCGACGGCATTTTACCGTCGCAAAAAACTAAAATTTTAGTAGTGCTTGTAAAGTTTATCATTAATCTGTTAATATCTTTTAAAATATACATTGTCATGTAAATTTCCCTTATAACTTTCATGTTGAAAAAACTATCCATAATAGTGTCTCTATTTTAATAGATACCCTTGTGTGGAGCAAGCTGTTCAAAGGAATTTTTTTGAGTACCAAGTTTTACTAATGAGGTTTTAAATTTTCAAAAGTTCTATTATCTCTTAAAAATAATATAGTATTAATGTACGTAAGTTTTAACGAATTACTTTTTTTTAATTGTATATATAATCTCCTGCTTTAATCCTCACTTTTTTTCTTTTTTATTCAGAATCTCTAAGAAATCAGAAAAAAATATTTTAATATTTTAAAATTCTATGAAATCATAATTTTACTATAAATATTGATTTGTGATTTAGATTTAATGTTATATAATAATGAATCTCAATCATTCAATATTTTTTTTTTTTTAGATAAAATTTTTAAGAGCTTAGGTTTTTTATTTATTTATTTTAAGCACAACTCTCCCTTAATAGGCTACCATGATAACCATATAATAAAAAGGCATATAGAATTATAAAATTACACATAAATTAAAAGCATATACTGATTACATTCAAAACTAATAGCATACTACATAAAATGAAACTTCAAATTCAAAGCTTTTACATCTCGCTGTGTAATTGCCACAAGTGTTCGACAAGGTCCGATTGGAGATGAGAATGTGTTTGCCTGTCTCTAATGTTATGATGACATTGAATGAATTCCATAAGTTCAGTAGTTCTCTCCTGTAACACTGTTACATGGGGACTATCATCGATTTGATCACAATTGAAGTCTTTTACTTCATTGTCATCCCGCTCATCCTCAATGATCATATTATGTAGAATTATGCACGCCTTCATAATATATTTAAGCATTTTAGTATTCTAAAAACGTGCCGGTCGACGCACAATTGCAAATCGTGCTTGAAGCACTCCAAATGCACGTTCTACATCTTTTCTTGTCGCCTCTTGAGCTGCAGCAAAAAGTTTTTTATTATTTCCTTGAGGAGAAGGAATTGTTTTCACAAATGTTGACCATTGTGGATATATACCATCGGCGAGATAGTATCCCATTGTATATTCATTACCATTGATGGTGTAATTGACTGCAGGAGCACGCCCTTGAGCAAGTTCGGTAAATACAAAAGATCTTTCTAGCACGTTGATATCATTATGAGACCCAAGTAATCCAAAAAACGCATGCCAAATCCAAAGATCATATGATGCAACAGCTTCCAAAATAATTGTTGGTTCATGAATGTGACCAGTATACATACCTTTCAACGCAGTCGGACAATTTTTTCATTTCCAATGCATACAATCAATGCTCCCCAGCATTCCAGGAAATCCACGACTTTCACCAATCGCTAGTAGTTTAGCGATGTCATTGCTATTTGGTGACCTCAAATACTCATTAGAAAAAATATCAACAACTGCTTTAACAAAATATTTTAAGCTTTCTATTGCAGTGCTTTCTCCAATTCTCACATATTCGTCCATAAAATCAGCGGCTACTCCATAAGCAAGCATCCGAAGTGCAACAGTTATCTTCTAAAGAGAAGACAAACCAAGCTTTCTAGCACAATTTCTTTTTTGGAGAAAGTATGGATCGTGCGCTTCTACTGCAGCTTAAATTCGAAGAAAAAGTGAACGCTTCATCCGAAACCTCCTTCGAAATAGCTCAGGAGGATATACAGGCGATTCAGCAAAATAGTCAAGAAAAAGCCTTTCATGACCTTGAATATGATCACGATGAATGACTTTACAATGGAAATTTTGGGGTAAAGAAACTCACAGATCAAAATCCATTCCCAAATACAAAAGCAATTCCAAATAAATTGATAGCTTGCTTAACAAAAAAAAAAATTAGCAATGCAGCAGATGCTCAGCTGAATCTGAAGATTGAAAATTTGAAGATGAAGCATCCAACCGACGCCGTAATTGAGAGAGAGAGAACTTCTCTTCTTGCCTCCCCGTTACTGCTGCTGCTGCTGCTGCTTCTTCACAAAAGTGACGAGCTAGGGCAACAACATGGGTAAAATAGTAAATTGCTCCCCAATACCAACAGACTAATTTTCTAATAGCAGGGCCAGATATTAGAAAATTAGTCTGTTTGTATTGGGGAGCAATTTACTATTTTACCCATGTTGCCCTAGCTCGTCACTTTTGTGAAGAAGCAGCAGCAGCAGCAGCAGTAACGGGGAGGCAAGAAGAGAAGTTCTCTCTCTTAATTACGGCGTCGGTTGGATGCTTCATCTTCAAATTTTCGATCTTCAGATTCAGCTGAGCATCTGCTGCATCGGTAATATTTTTTTGTTAACCAAGCTATCAATTTATTTGGAATTTGTTTTTGTATTTGGGAATGGGTTTTGATCTGTGAGTTTCTTTACCCCAAAATCTCCCTTGTTTTTCTATGGTTTATGATTTGTAAATGAGTTTTTTTTTTTTTCATTACTTTGGGTTTATCATCTGTGATTTGATCCATCTTTTTGGGGTTTGATGCAAGCTGAAACATTTTCTTGAATCACGTTATCAATTTATTCAGATTTTTCTTTTTGATTACAAGATTTTATTGATAACATATCCCACGGTGGTTCAGTCCACGGTGGTTCGCCGACGACCAACACTAGTTATTCGACCATGGTGGTTCTCGCTCTTTCTCTCTCTCTCTCTCTCTCTCTCTCTATAAGCTCTGTTATTATCTGATTTCAGTCTCTGTTAAGATTTAGATCGATCCCATTTTCCGTTACTGAACTATGGTTGCATAAACTTGTGAGAATTCCTAGCTAGTAAAATTAGAAATTACTGGTCGTATGAAGTTATGAGCTGCTTATTGAGCATTTTTCTTTTTATATATTGAAAGTTTTGAATTAAACTTCTGTACAATTCCTTTTATTTCACATCATAAGGATTTATTTTTTTTATAGCATCTCCAATCCTTTCATCATTAAATTTGATGAAAAAGTAGTCAAAAATCATCTTCAATCGTTTTATCATCGAATGTTCATCAAATCAAGGGAGTCATTTCTTTTTATCAAATTGAGAATTCATTAAAATTTGAGTTTGATGAAAATTTAGAAAGATGAATCATTGGAGTAGATTTTTTTTTCATCAAATTTGATCAAACAGAAAATTGAGGATAAGAGAGTAATTTTTAAAAGAATTGAAATAGTTCATGTCAAATCAAATTTTTTACTCAAATTTGGAATCAAATTAGATGAAAAAATTGTCGAAGAATTGAAGATGATTTTTTTCTTTTTTTGGGAGTACCTTTTCATCGAATTTAAATTTGATGAAAGAAAAGATGAAGGAGATATGAGTGAAATTCCTTCATTTGTATTTGAAGGGGCAGTCTTGGTAATATGGTATTGTAAATCTTTGTATTTGAAGGGGCAATCTTGTAAGTAATAGAAGGTTTTTTTTCCTCACAATTTCGGAAATTCTATTTCCACACATCAAGTTTTCTTACTCCACACACTTAATGAATTTTTTAAGAATCTCAATTTTATTCTTTAACAAAATTACCATCTCACCCACCACCATCTCACCACACCAATCCTCTGCAACTTCTTCATTCTTTCGAATTTTTTGAATCTGTTTCCCTTTCTTCTTCATCACTCTCCCTTCAAGCAAATTTCTGGAATTTAACAACTCTTCAAACCCCAAAAATTCAATTAAAAAAAAATTAAATCTGAAAGTCATCCATTGATAAACAATAGATAGCTCTCTGTGGAAGATAAACACAAACCCTCTGGGCAAAGAAGCAGAGAAACAGGGGTTATGGTAAAGAAAATCAAAATTTACAATGCATATTGAGCGATTAATGAAAGACCCACTTGAGAAAAAAACTTTGGAATGAACAAAAACCAGAGAGTTGACCATTTTAGACCATATCTTATTTTTGTGTTATCATCTAATTAAATTGGATGGGTATTCCATCATTCAACGAACTTTTTAGTCCATTGAGAGTTGACTAACACTTGGGATGGGGTCTTTTGTTTTACAGGTGCTTTTATTGCTGTGATTTAAAGTATTGGTGAAACAGTCATTCAGCCATTCTCTACCTTACCTGCACGTTCTCGTTCAATTTTAATTCCAATTGAAATTACTGAGTGACGGGTGTTCTGCAGAATGGATTTGATCAGTGCCCTGCCAGTAGATGTAAAACTTGAAATTCTACAGCGCGGTCCTTTTGAAGAAGCAGCAAGAGCAGACATCTTGTCAAGTACAAGCATTTGGTCTGATCGTCCACAACTTGTGTTTAATAAGTTCTTCTTTGAAGAGCGCGGCAGATGGATCGCACTCGATCTAACTGCATGGGTGGACAGAGTGAACGAAACTATCCGTCGTCACAACGGTCCCATTGGAAACGTTATTCTCCACGTTCCGGACAAACAATTTAAATGGGCTCCACATATTAACATCTGGGTGTTTTCCCTGTCAAGGAAGAGCATCGAGGGACTCACTGTGGATAATTGCCAAAATGATACATACAAGATCGGTTTTCTCTCTTCTTGCCTAAACTTGACAAGATTGGAGCTCCGTAATTGTATTTTCAACCAATCATCTGGTGTTTTTCGGAATCTCCAGCACATTTATCTTAAGAAAATAGTATTTGGTTCCGACCAAGTTGGTACTGTTAACCTCGATGCCCCATCGCTGGTGTTTTTAAGCTTTCTTACTGTGTTGGCTTTAAATATTTGAATGTCCATGCTCCAAATCTCAAAGTCGTTTCTGCCGTCAACGAATATGACGCAATTCTTGATGACAAGGATGAATTTTCTTTAAGGGTTAGGCGGACAAAATGCAATGTCCATTGGTTGTTCTGTGGTTGACATGATGTTTATTAAGTATGATGGAACAGGGAATTCTTGTTCCATATTTCACTCGCATTGGATGGGATGCAAAAGCAAGCATGCTGTGGCTTATTGTATAGTGATAAATGTTTTAGATGTTTATCAAATTGATTAAAGCTCTTTTATTTTGAAGAAAGTCTTGTGTTTGTGTTATTTTTCTTTTGAACTAAAGCTTTTTTGTAATATTTCTCCTGTCATCATTAATGCATTTCTGTAAACTTCTAGCAAGAGATATTAGTCAACAAGATAGATCACTTACGCTGTGTTTGGTTGGAGGATTTGGGAAGGGAAATAGAAAGGGAAATGGAAATGAAAGGAAAAGGAGAAAGAATTAATAGAATTCCAAATCCCAACTATGTTTGGTTGTGTTGGTTATAAAATAGAATTTATGTCCTAAAAGGTCTCCTATTTCTTTATTTATTTCTCACCCCCTTTCTTTTCCCATATATTTTTTATTATAACCAAATATAAATAGGATTACATTTCTCATTCCTTTTCCAAATCCCACCCCAAAAACCCCAACCAAACACAGCATTAGCATTGTTTCCATTCCCACATCAGCTAGGTAGAATTTAAAACTAACAGAAAGTCTATGCACTCACCAAAATATATAATTTACAGTGTATATATAGGCTGTGTGTATGATTTGGAAAAAGAAATAGAAAAGGTGAGTAAAATGTGAATGAAATATAGTTTTATTTTTTCTTTACTTTTTCAAATTCTTAAATCTATAATTCAAACACAGCTTTAAAGTTGTTACTGTGGAATTACACTATGAATACAGGCACTTCTATGCTGTGATAAAAAAACAGTTATTCAACCATTCTTGAATAAGTCCATCATAAACCAGACTGGACCATCCAATTTGATTTCTCAGCCAGATAGAATCTAGTTACATTATTGAATTCTTAGGTAAATTATACATACACTCTTGAGATTTGCTTAAAATATAAATTGGGTAAATTACACATATACCTCTTGAAATTTACTTAAGATATAGATTGTTCATGTGATTTTGAAAATTATAAATACTCCTTTTCAGAATTTTTTATGTAACATAATAGAAAAAAGAAATTTCTAACTAATCTTCTATACAAAAATAAATTATCAGAATTGCTTATTTAAATATATTTCTGATATCATTAAAATAAATGTTAATTGATTTGATTATTTATTAATAAAATTGGTCATTTGTTATGCAATTAGAAATTTAAAGGGAAGAAATATAATTTTCAAAATCAATGGGATAATATGTAATTTAAGCAAATTCAATAGTGTATTTGTAATTTATCCTTGAATTGTTTAAAGCAGAAGAAGCCGGGATAAGCCCTCTACCATACTTTGTCTCTCCATACCTCTCCATACTTCCCTTCTAAGCCCCAATTCTGACATGTACCAATAATCCGAACCGTCTATTTCGTAAGTATTATAATAAAAGTCATCTATGCAAAAAATAGTTTCATTGAAAAATTATAAATTTAAAAATTACATTTTGTTTTATAAAATAAATGATAAATATGATTGTAAATTTAAACCATTTATTTTATAAAAATATTTTTTTTTCTTATATTTATTACGAAACTAATGAGATAAACTATTGGTATTATCGACACGAGACCAAATTAGTGCCTATACATGGAGGGATGAAGATATGAAGGTGGGCCCGCAAAAGTCAGGTTAGTTGAATATGATATTATCTGAGGGAACTACATGCAAGTAAGAGTTGAGAAAAAAAAAAATTATAAATATATGAAGTATAAATATGTCTGTGGTGAGATGTAAATGAAAGGCTCCCCTCCCCTTTATGTGTTGGTAATTTTTTTTTCCAACTCACACCAGCATCTAGTTCCCAAGTTCTTTTCCTTTCCAGCCATTGCGATAGCTTAGAGAAGGTTATAGTTTTTTTTCCCCTCTTTTTAGCACCTGGTGATTGAAGTATAAGTTTTTGTTTAATGATTGTTCGTCTTCAAGAAAAGGGTTTGTATCGTATCGCATGAACACTCTTACCACTTCACTTCGAGAAAAGGGTTCAATAAAGGTAAACTTGAAACCCCATTTTGCTTCTGCTTAAGTTCTTACAACTGAAATAGATATGGAATTACAAGGAACAATGAGAAGCTAATATGTAATTCTATTCACAATATGACACCCAAATAAACTTAAGATTTCTTAGTTCAATTTAAATTCAAAACTCCCAAGAGTTACAGAGTTGAAAAGTGAAAAAAATTTGATAAAAAAGGATTGTTTGTGTGCTTGATAGGCTATCTCCAACCGTTCACCAAATCCAACATTAAATTCAAATTTGATGAAAAAAAATATGCTTTTTGGGCTCCAACGATTGCACCAAAACAGTATCAAATTGAGAAAACATCAAACGTTTCACCAAACTGAGGACGACTTGCCTCTTTCACCAATTCAATGTGCATAGCCGTTGAGTTGGACCCACCGAACGACCGGCCGAACGTCCGGCCGGATGTCCCACCGGATGACCACTTTAAAGCAAAATTTTGTGAAAATTTTACACTGGTTGACCCCCCGGTCGACTACCTTAGCATTTTTTTTGAAGCAACAGAAATGAAGGCAAAAAAAAAAAATTGCTCTTACCTGGGGTAGAGATGGCAATGGATAACCTATCCTATGGGTATCCATGGAGACCCAACCCAAATATATGAGTTTTCCCCTCTTTTTCTTATCCATTGGGTAGGGTAAGTGATATTCTTTAAATATCCACAGGGAATGGGTTGGGGATGGGTACCCACTAATTTCCCCATATGTTTTTTTTATTTATTTATTTAAGATTCACAACTAAAACTAAATATACATTCAATCTTTTTTCTTTTTTTTATTTATTTATTTTTTCAGGTTCACAACCAATTTTTTTATTTTTATTTTTTATTTTTTATTTTTTATTTTTTATTTTTTATTTTTATTTTTTTTTAAATCCACAACCAAAACTAAATATACCTCCAATCTTTTTTTTATTTTTATTTTTAAGGTTCACAACCATTTTTTTAAAAATTTTTAAGATTCACAACCAAAGCTAAATATACATTCAATCTTTTTTCTTTTGTTTTTTTTTTAATTTTTTTTTAAGGTTTACAACCAATTTTTTTTTTTTTTTTTAAGATTCACAACCAAAGCTAAATATACATTCAATCTTATTTTATTTTATTTGGCTCAACAATAAAATCAAATACACATTAATTAACATTGTCACATTATTCTTGTCAAATTTTATGCATATCTAGAAATTTTTAAATTTATTTAAAAAAAATTAAGGACATTGTCTAGTGTAGGTTTCGGTTTGCTTTTCTATGTTATTTTATTTTGTTCGTGCGTGACATCTCATGCATATATATATATATATATATATATAAATGTATTTGAAAATAAGGAAATTGTAGAGAATCAAAACAAGCATGAGTTGTGATTGGTTAGAAATGATGGGTACATAGATTTATTTGCTAGAAAAACAAAAAGGGGATACAAAGTCATATTAAATAATTTTTTTTAAATTAAAAGAATTTTTCTTAGTTATGAACAGATTTAACTAAAATCAGCTTGTTTCCTAATGTTATGCTTCATTTATTTAGATATAAAATATTTTTTAATGAAAAATATTTTTTATAAAAAAAATTAAAAATATATTTTTTTTATATTTGGTGGTGTTGGTGATGGAACGAAGGTGAAAGTAGAGATTGTTACATAGTGGTGGGGTGATGGCGGCAGTGATGATGGTAGTGGTTATGGTGATGGTAGTGTGACAGTGAAGGTGAGAATAGTGGTGATGGTGTTGTGAAATTAGTAAAAATTTAATTGAAAAAATATTTTTTGTTTTTTAAAAGTAACAAACAACAAAATTCGTGGGGGACTAAAGGAAGAAGATGGAGGATGGATTGGGTGTGGTAAGGCATAGATATCTTAAAAAGAGTGGTTTAGATTTGTTAAAAGGTATAATTAGATTTTGGATAAATTAAAATGAATGGTTCAAATTTGCTAAGAGAAATATGGTTTAATGTCTAAATGTCCGTGGCTAAGAGATCAACAAACAATTCCTTGTTTATGCCCTGATGCAATTTAATATGAGTCTTATAACACTTTCTTCAAACAGTTTCTTTCACATTTTATTTCTTCAAACAGGCTCTTATAACATTGTAATCAGGTTCTTATAACATGTAGGGGAGAGAGTGAGAGAGAGAGAGATTGTTGTAATTTTTTTTTAATCTTCCACGTTCTTCCACATTTTTTTTTTCAATTACTAAAACTTATTTGATTGTCTCAAAATTATATATTTGATTATTATAAAACAAACTTTTTAATTAATTAATTAATGTGTATTTGATTTTGTTGTTGAACCAAATAAAATAAAATAAGATTGAATGTATATTTAGCTTTTGTTGTGAACCTCAAAAAAATAATAAATAAATAAATAAATAAGTTGTTAAAATTAAATATATTAAAAAAGAAAGAAAAAAGATTGAATGTATATTTAGCTAAAACCTTTATAAAAAAAAAAAAGAAGGTTGTTAATATTAAATATATTAAAAAAGAAAGAAAAAAGATTGATTTTTTTTTGAAACTAAAAAAAAAAAAAAAAAAAAAAAAAAAAAAAAAAAAGGGAAGT